GTGAAAGTGGTGGGGTGAGACCCTTTGTCCAGGGTGGGACACACACACACACATGTTTTCTCGATCACAACTGCTTTGGCACCATTGGTGAAGCCACTTCATGTTTTGCACTCGAAAAGCTTGCCAACAGAGGTTGAAGGACCCTATAGACTATCCCATAAGCACCCCAGGAGGGTCCTAGTTCAGGTCACTTGACCTCTTTTGGTAGGCTTTCAGTGGATCGAATTGACCTCACTGGTGTGGACGTGGTCTACCAGCGCTCTTGGAGCACCTTGAACCTCGAGGAGACCGGGAGAGTCGATCGAGAGGAGTCCGATGGTCTGGCCGAGAGGGGGTCCGGTGGGTGTCATTTGTTCTGGGGTCAACAGATGACAACAACTGATTTATACTACCTCCTAGTGACAAAGGAGTACCCGCCTGCTCTTCCCAAGCGATCAGACGCCATAAATCCTATGTCATCAGAACCTAGTATAAGTATATCAATTAACTCCCAATTGGCCAGTGCTTGATGATTTCTTTCCTCTTTGACATTTAGCACACTGTGATGTGCACACTGTGAGAGATCGGTACATTGTGAGAGCTCTGGCAGCTTGTGGGGCGAACACCTGCACGGTTTTCCCACCCGGCCGCGAGAAGCGCTGTTTCTCTTCGACATAAGGAGCTGATGAAGCGGTTGGGTGCTGGTGAGGGTGGTGGAGCTGCTGCGGCCCCTCGCGGCTCCCACTCTTGGCACCTGGATCTGCAAGTGCACCAGGCGCCGGGCTCTCACCCGGTCGAAAGTCGTGCGATGTGTGTGGCGAAACACCATTTGTGTCGCCGTTCCAATCGGAGACACATGCCCAGGGCGTGAGGAGTTCCAATCCGATGAACATCAGCATAGCACCTTTGAAAGAGATTTGCTTCATGTGAAAATGATTGAGAAGGGACTTTTGGTAATTGGATTTTTTGGCTAATCCCTTCTAAGGTGGCTCACCTTCTCTGAACACCAGAACACAAAAACCAGCGAGTTGGCACTACCCATCCCCCATCCCACACGAGAGGCCACGGCATGGCCGTTCTTCGTTTTGCGCGTTCTCCGGTTCGCTCAAACGCCGCGCGCGGAAAAACCAGCACCGCGGCATCGACAAAGACGATTGCCGTTGCATCGAAAGCCGATCTTCGCCAGGTGAACACGTCCGATGTCTGGGTTCACGTCTCGTGGCAAGCAGAAGGTCTTTTTGAGGACCTGAGAAGGGACCTGACCGATATATGTTTATATAAGAAAGCCAAATCAGAGATAGCTTCTTGTTACGAACATAGCGACTCTAGCCCTTGTTACTAGATTCACGATGCACTTGTTACTATGCAGAAAGGACACGTCCGTCTCGGCTTTGGACCCTTGGAAGCTTTGTCCTCGTGGCATGCCGGTGGCATGCCGATGGCTTGACCCAACACGGCCGGCAGAACGCGATCAGCTCCGTGAGCTCCGTGAGCTCCGTGGTGGTCACAGCCAGTTTGCAGAATGAAGGATCGTTTGTCTTGGGGTTTGGAAGCCCCTGGCGGTTCCGGCCTTTCTCCGTGTTCCCAACGTGCTTGGTCAGGTTTCGTTGGGTTTCGACCCATTTGCAGCTCCTCTCTGGTGGGTTTGACAGAGGAGTCGCTTGAACACCTGGTACACCTGGTACACGTCGGGTCCTGTCAGGTCATGGTAAGAAGCACTCAAAAGCCCCGATGGGATGCAGGATCCGAGCAGAGCTCAGTCGATAAAACAACGCCCCACCACTGGCTGGGACCAACTGGCTGGGACTCATACGTAGAGAATCGGATTAGACCTGCTTTGACTGGTCTAGAACTTGGAGTTTTACGTGTTTGGGTCGTTGGGACAAAACCTGGCACCATTGGACACCAAAGGTTGAAGGGCCTTGTTGAGCTTCTGACTTCGGCAGGGCCTCATGACATCACTAAGTTTCCTTTAAGGACTCACAGCGGACTCGTCTTTGCCAAGTAGTGATACAAACTGGGCACACGCTGACATGGAATGGGGAATTGCTGCCCAAGCAGTCCAGTTTCCTTTATTTTTGACAGACTCTTTACATGGTTGTCCTGAATCATCCTTAATGACTCTTGACTCACAACTCGTCGTCCCACGCGCGTCCCAGCCTCGGCCGTTGCGCTTCTGCCCAGGCAGACGTCTATCCGATGACCTCTGGAGTCTCGCTGGCCGTGCCCTCGGCTCCTTTCGGCTCAGTTCGGTCGACCCAGGGCGGTCGACCGGTGGACGATGGTCGAGTGACTCGTTTTGGTGTGACTCCGTGACGAGCCTCGTGGAACTGGCGGGTCGAGAACCGCTGGGGCGGACCCCCAGCGCTCTGCCGGAGGGGTCTGGCCAGGTACCCAACCTCGCCTGGAAGGACTTCGAGGAGGAGGTGAAGCCCCGTTCCCACGACGTTTTTCGGCCTGAAGCAGCCAACTGCAGTTCGCACCCCCCCCCAGAAGGGCGGTGGGAGGTGGCCACGGTTTTTCCTGGTGAAAAACAACACTCGTTTTTTGGGGTTTTCGTTTTGGGATTCCGAGAGTTTTGGGATGCCCAGCGTTTTGGTCCCTGTCGATGCCGAGAGTTCAACCGTGGTCGTTTCTATGCACGCCACCGTTTTTCACCTCCTTGGGACCCTGGCACCATCGACCCTCCACGGCGCGAACACGGTCTGAACGGTGTGAACACGGTGCGACCTGGTCTTCGACCATTGGGGCCTTCTGCGTCAGAGCCGAAGAGAGAGCGATTTCCCGAGAGGAGTCGAGCGATTTCGGGTTAGGGCCGCGGTGCGACCTGGTCTTCCTAACGCTTGCGAAGCAAATCACGTAATCAAGGAGTTGCAGACTCGACATCGCCGATGGGTGTGATCGAAGTTGATGGCTGGACCGCACTGGCCAAGAATATGTGGAACCTTTGTGCCTTTATGATCACACAATGCGATTCTGATCGAATCTCTCCTGGGGGATACACTCTGACAAACACACCACATGGAAGTGGGACATGATCCCTTGGATGACTACTTTCATCGACAAACGGGGGGTTGTCCACTTCCATGCTAGTGAGTCGGAGTGTATCACTTTCGCCAGTTATTTTCGCACAGAGCGAGTCCTCCCCCAGCGTATTAAAATGCACGATGACACCGAGGGTGGTTTTGTGGGCTCCATTTCTCCAAACCACTGTGCCGTGGGTGTAGGAAATGATCCACACCCAGTGGCTGGGTGGTTTGCTGTAGTGGTCGTGACCCCGCATGGGAAGACACCGAAGATCATGACCTCTCAGGAAGCCGTAGTGGTCGTGCTGGCCACTGTCCTCAGCAACGCCAAGCGTGTGCTGGGTCTTTGAGCAGGGCAGTCAATGCGTGGGGCAGCCTTTTGATCGCATCCGATGCGGGAGAAGCACTGAGCATATCGAGGGGCTTACTTGTCGTCTCATATAGTTTTTCATTTTCTTCTTGACCAGCCTCCGGAGTTCGCCGCGTGTCTCAACCGGTGGCTCAGACGAGTTTGCAAGGACTCTAGGGAGTCCCCCTTTGAGGGGTGGCAGAAAAGGAGTAGCTAGCTGTAGCTATACAGACTTTCTGAAAAACCTGGGAAAACAAAAGCTCAATCAGCATCCAATGGAAGTTGACCAATCAAAGTTGACCAACTTTAGACTGGCACCTGTCTTTTGCCGGGGCATAGACGCCTTCAGGCGTCCGTGGGGCTTTCTTTTTCCTGTGTTGAGACCAAGCTGCCAGCAAAGCAGAGTGATGCACACATCACGAGTTGATCGTGGCCACTTGACATGCGGCTGATATATTATCATGCTCAGAACATGATCAATGTGGATTCCCCGCATCGCTCTTCCTCCGCGGAGAACAATAGAACTGGTGTCACCCGACAAAGTGCGGAGATGGACGAAACGGCAAAGCACATCTGGTAAAAGTGATGCACAGCAGGTTGACTGTCTCGTGAACCCTTCGTCGCGTACATGCGTTTCGATTTTTGGGCCTTTCATTCCTGTCTTGTTTTTGTTGTCTCTTCCCTTCGTGAAGGTTTTGACCGTGTCGTTTTCTTTTATCTCCTCATACTTCATCGTTTCTTCTCTTGTCAAACTCACACCTTTACATCCATCCTGCTTCTTGTCCTTGAGCAAGCTGAACCTTGAACTTCGACATCCTTTTACATCCTTTTACCGCCTAGATCTTCCAACTATGCCCAATTTAAGCCGTTTCATCCGTAAAAACTATAGCTCACCGGCAGAATTTTGGCATGGGAAGATCTCGGTCTTGCCGAACGCATCGTCCGGAAGATGCGCTTTCCGATCATCGCACCCTTCGTCCAACGATGGCCATCGATCCGTCGAGCCCGTCGATTGGGAGGCGCTCATCGCCTCATCGCGTTGAGCTTCGCTGGTGCCCGAAGCAGGGCGGGGCGGGGTGGGGTGCCGAACTGGGATCACCGAGCGGGGCGGTTTGGGGCAGTGTTTCGTGTGAGGCTGTTGGGGGGTGGTTTGGATTCCGGGGTCTGTGAATGGCCTTGGGTGTTGTGGTGTTTGCATGATATATATATATATAACATCTGATTCACCAAAAGATCGCATGGTAATGGCAAGGATGGCCTGTGGGTCGGGTGAGTGGGGTAGGTAGGAGCCGAGTTGAGGAACGTTCATTTCACGTTGACACCGAGCTTTCACCTTTCGGTGTGCGACAGCCAGCGCATACCCTGCATGTTATATCACTTTTTCACACATGTTGCATGCTTGGCTACCTGGTGTTCCGTATCTTCAAGTGTGCAGCATGCAATGCCAGAACATTCCACAGCACGATAACATGAGTTGGATGCTGCGCAACCACATTGGCACACTCTTGTATACTCGCCCGGTGGTGGTTTCACAGGCACATGGCCTTTGCAATGATCATAGTCATGGTTTCACACACACACACAAGAAACCTTTTATGGCTTCACAGTCCACACAACCTTTCATGCTTCCCATGCATCATTGTCATGGTTTCACTGGGACTGATGCCCTCCCCCACAGTCACAGTCCAAACCTTTCCTGCTTGGTCGATCGCCGCAGTGGTCGCTGGTCTTCCGGCGAAGTGGTCGAGTCGAGTCGAGCAGGACTGTCAGTGGACTCGTGACCTGTGTTGTGTTGTGTTCACAGGGCCCTTTTGTTGTGTTCACCCCATGAAACATGCCTGGAAACATGTGTGCAATACAGTTTAGGTTCTTTGCAATACATCTTTTCATTCCGGGACAGGCGACAGGCGACATACGAACGAACACCCTGAACGAACGGTTCCCGGGAACGGTCAATGCACCCTCCCCACGCAGCCGGAGACCGCCTTTTTGCAGATTCATTCAGACTTCAAGGGGACAAACTCCGGCACTTATCCAAACAAAACGCTTCCTATGGCCCTCACTTGTACTCACTGGCACCAACCTTGAAGTCGTCAGAAGCCCAAGCATGATGTCGAACTCCGCCCAACACCCATCGGGTGCAGGTGATTCGCTCGTGGTGCTCCGTCAGGGTCGGGCCCCAAAAGCCAGAATCGTTCCGGTTCCGAACCCCACCATCCAATCCTCGCGTGCCTCGCTGTCAGGCGGCCTGTCGCATCTGCCTGTCACATGGGCCGGGTGACGCGTGCCGACGTCTGACGGCCGCGACGTCGACGCGAAGACGGAGAAGACCCGGGGAGGACCCACTGTAGGGAGCTGAGTCGGTCAAGTCACCTGGTGCGATGCGCATCGGCTCGAACGTATCGGCTGGAGGCTTGAGACAAGGGGCGGGGGTAGAGTTGTTTGGACTTAGACATGTGACACTGGTTGGTGTTTCTATCCTTTGAGTGGGACCGTTTGACTGTGGAGACCAGAGGGTATGAGGAACACTGCGTAAGGGGAGAGTCACAGCTCGAACTCCCTGGCGTCCTTGATGGGCAAATCCCGCACGAATGAACCAGCAGAAATCGAGCCCTATCAAATGCGCCATGGAATCGTCGTAATACGACGCCGTCAGAGCCCACCATTGGGATCCGTCAGAGATGTCATCACTCTCATGGTGGGTCCTCAAGTAGGTTTGCAAACTACCTGGGATGTGCCATGGAAAATAAGCACCCGGCCCTTCCATGATTTGTTGACAATTTTCGAGTAGGGACAGAGAAAACTCTTGCAAGTCTGCATGAGCCAGCCACCAGTTTTTTTGTGCTTCTTTGGAGTAGAAGACACTTGCATGATTTTTGGCAGGTCCCAGGTAGCAAATTCATTCAGTCGACGGGACACTGGGGAGAAACAATCCGCCGCGACGCTGGGACGCTGGGGAAACAGGACACTAGTTTCTAACACCAGAAAGTGCGTGGGTAAACTGACCAGTGACAAGTTGGCATCCACCAGTCATGTTGGTTTCTGCCTAGGCCCACAGACACCGAGGCTCCTAGGCCCTCAGACACTGACAAGATGGCTCCTGCAATCTCCCCAAACGACAACGTGTTTACCAAGGCAGAAAACAGGGGAAGCGGGCTGAGCTCTTTCATCAGTAGTCAAGAAAGCAAATGGTTGGTGGTCCCATCAACATCTCCAATTCTGCCCACTGATGCATAGCTGTGTCTCAGTCCATCAGTCCGGAAATCCGCTCATTGCTGACCATCGGTACTGACCATTTTGTGGTGAAGTCTTTCTCGGTGTCTCTCTCTATTTCTCTCTCCATGTTCCTTTGAACAAAGATTCCTGGAGTCTGGTCGCTCGATGGTGCTCAAGGGTGAGAAAGCCAAGCCATCCTCAAAGCCCGAGCTCGGGGAGCTCGGGGGAGCTTGGTCCCCCGAGCTAAAGTGAATCAGGACTGCCAATCCCGAAATCAGATGTCATTGGAGCAATGGCCCGTGGATTGCCCTGTGTACCAGCAGTCACTGGTGCTGGGTGCGATCGACGGAGGTTAGGGGTGCCCAGAACATCCACCCACTTGGGGACCAAACACCACCTCTTTGTGACTCCTGGTATGTGCTCGGTTTTTCTTTGCCAAATGCTCCACACCTTGGGTGAGAGCTCATGATAGCCTGACGTCTTCCGATCCCCTTGTATAGGGTCATGTTCGGTTCAATTGAATGATCTTGAATGATGCAAGCCGACGAGAGCTGCCGGCCATGCTGCTCTTTTTCGCCGGCCGATTGCACCTTTTTCTCAGTGTGTGGCGAACGAACATGAGAGGAAAACAGGTCCTCGACCGCATGGTCCGTTCTATGAGGAAAACATGAAACCGGGAGGCCGCTCAGAGGGTTTGGTCAGTCCAAAGAATTCAACGTTTTCCCTTGGTCCGACAAGAAATCATACATGCATATAAAAATATATATTTTATATAGAAGTTCCATGAATCATCTGTCAGGAGCTGATCCCAAACATCAATAGATGTTGTCCGGACATTTGCATAGATGATTGCGTGCACATGGCAGTACAAGATGTTTATTTCGTTGGCAGTACAGACCCTGTAGATCCTGAGATTGCAATACCTACCCCCTGCTATCGGCTTGGTCGGCTTGCCGGGATGCCCAGGATGTGTCCGGTTCTTTTCTTGGAACCATGAGGTTTCTTCGCAATGGGAGTGAGAACAAGGAGCATTTCCAGAAAGCATAGAGAACACATGGGAATACCGGATTTTTTTTTGAAACTATATGTACCTTCGTCCCCGAGGGTTAAGAAGCTTCGCACGGTGTTGGTCCCATAGCGTTTTGGCTTACAGGTTCATGCGGTGCGCCTCGTGCCATACCTGGGAAGGTTCACCGACCTGCCAGGTTTGCAGGACCTTGCGGCGCATCCGGGAGCTGATTGAAGGTCAGCTCCTGATTCGGCGCCAAGAGAGTCAGGTGCTCACCGTCCTCCGCGACTGCGCTGGTGCCCTTACGGATTTGGCCGAGGAAGCGGCCCCCATCTTGGCACAAGAGCTTCGAGAAAGCGGACCCGAGGTTGCGACCAAGGAGGCAGTTGACGGGGAGCCGCTGGCCCCTGGCGTGGACGAGAAGGACAAGGACGAGCCCAAGAAGGAGACAGTTGAGGTGAAGAAGGAGGACCAAGGTGAGCAACAGTTGAACAAGGAGCCACTCGTGACCGTCCCCATTGCGGCAGAGTCGAAGGAAGGAAAGAAGGATCAGCCTCAGGAGAAGCGCAAGAGGAGGCGGAAGCATAAGGCGGGCACAAGCTCGAAGAGAGAAGGCAAGAAGAGTCGCAGAGAGAAGAAGAAGAAAGAGAAGGAAGAGGAGCCCAAGGCAGAAGTTGGCCGCCAGGAGCCCACTCCCATTTTAGCCAAAGGTTCGAGCGCCAGGGGTCTCGACCCCACCCCCCAGGATCTCGAGAGAGATCCCTCGAGGTACGGCCTACGACCAGCTGTGTGGGGAACTGTCGCCAAGCATTTCAACCCACCGTTGCCACCGCCGCCACCCGCTCCTCGCTACCCTGCCGAGCCCAGTTACCCCCCACCTCATCACCAGGGTAACTCGACAGGTCGGGAGCGAAGCAGTTGGAGGAGACCACGATCGAGGTCACCAAGAAGGACGGACGGTCAACCCCGTCGAAGGGGTTCGAAGGGAGTCAAGCATCGGGAGAGAGGCCGTTATTGGCCTCACCGGCGCTAGACTAAA